AAATTATTTCATTGACCACTACGAAAGTAGTCTTACTCGTATAAATTGTTTGTCTCTTGGTTGAGGCTAATTTTAACCTTTAATTGTTTCTTAGTTTCTTCTATAGGATCGTTGCACTGCACCTTTTGGTGATTTGATTTTTCCGATCTCTAGTTGGTGGTATTAGATAAACAAAACAAAAAATGTAACTGAATTTGGGCCTCCCATTATTTCATATATACGCTACAAGGCCTAAGGATATGGGCCCAAAGGTCCATTAGAGTCGTTTTAGCTCAAACCTCAAACTGATGTTTCTGAATTCTGAGACTCAAAACATTCTAAGAAAGCACTACTCAAGAGCATATACTCTCCAAACCAGCCTGAGGAAGATTAAAGATACTGCTAGTTGCATTTAGTAAAAGACATCACATGTTCTCATTACTGATTCGGTGCAAACTAAAGCTTAGACCGTTCCAAGTTCTCATTTGACATGGTCGATGAGCCAAGTGAGCATGTCCTTGTGAGCCTCCTCTGCAGCTTCAACTTCTGATGGATCATCCGCGTTGTACCTAACAGTCCAACCGTGTGTGACTCTTGGGAATATCTTCACAAAACTCTTCACCTGAAACATTACTTCGCTTGCTGATTAGTATCTCTGCCTTGTGATTCCGGTAAAGTCAAATTGCAGGAATGAAAACTTAGAAGCTAGAGAAGTATCAAATAGTTCAATACTTCCAAGAACACACCAGCTACTTGAAACTGTAAACAATAAGATAAGTGTGGATAAGCAGAGCAAAGTACCTCGGGTTTAGTAGCTAAAATATCTTCGAATTGCTTCACGAGTTCTGGAGGTGACACTTGATCGAATTCAGCTCCTAGTACAGAAATTGGAATCTTGACCCCTAGATAGATTATGGTCATTATATAATTAGAGAGTGAAGCAAGTAAAAGAATAGTCATATACAAAGATCTTACCTTTAATATCATCCACCGTAACACGAGAAGGATGTAACAGAACAACAGCTTCAACAAGTTCTTGCTTCGCCAATTCTACCGCGATTTTTGCTGTGATTAACACACAAAAGAGAGAATAAAGACTTCTGTGTTAGCCGCTTAATACTGAAATGAACGAATAACGCAAAAAAACTATTTCGTAAAAGATTGTAGCGATGACGACGGGAAGAACAAAACCAGAACTCACCACCCCAACAGAAACCTGCTACTCCAATTGCAGTTACGCCTTTGTTCTTCAACGCTTCAACTACTGGCTTTGAGTCCTCAAAACCCTTATCCTACAAAATCCACATAGTGGTTTCAGATAGAATCAACAAACCACTGTCTAGATCTTATGATCTTTGCAATGAACAACAAATACAAACAAATACGGACAACATTTTGACAATTAAGCATTTGGGAATATATTGCACTCAAATTAGCTAGTGAAGGTACAAGGAAGTATACCACTGCAAACATTGAGAACAAATGTTTAGAG